ATAATTTACATTTTAATTATTATAATATTGTTATAATAATAAATATACTAATAATAATAAAACAATATAATTATAATAATAACTATAATAATAATTGTTATTGTAATAACAAACAGATGTAACAGAATATGATAGCATGTTTCAAATCTTCTTCTAAGATATCTTTCTGTAATATTAATCCACCTCAAAATATTTTCTCGAGTTATGGGATATTCGTTTTACCAATAAATTTCAGAAATACTGGACATATAAATCATAAATCAGAATTGCACCTTACTGGTGCATATACTTGTATATATGTACATATAGTCGTATATATTTTTTAACATACTCCAATATTATAGCAATTGATTTATGTGTATCATACAAATTAAAAATCGTCGTTCCAGACCATTCTGTTAGCTTGAATGGATTCTACGATTCTCACAGCGTGATATTCAAATTTCATTTTTAAATTTTTCAACAATGGTCCACTCTCTTTCACAGGTTACTCTTTGATATACAACCCTTGGCATACTCTCATCTTCGAAGCCTTGGAATCTGTCACTTTATCACTCAGCTTCACTGCTGCTGTCACTTACGCAGCCAAACTGTCTACCACCACCACTGACAGCTCGATACAGGGATTACTAGGCGGAGTTTACTATGGAGTTGGTAAGGAAAATATTATTTTCCCTGTTAACAACTATTAACAATAGTTAGGTATTAACAATAGATATTAACAATGCTAACTGTTAATACCTAAACCGTTGTACAGATCAAGTTATAATGACAAAGGTACCTTTGGACTTTACGATCGCTCCTGGGGTCCTAAGTCCCCTAGTGTAAAATCGTGAAGATAAAAATAACTAGACAAAAATCGATATACCTTTATCACTAAAAAATTGTTTTAACAGCGTTCTAGAAAATATTTCTAAATTCTGACAATCCTTATATTGATCCCAAAAGACTGTCAAACTGCCAAGCTCACCGTTGCAAGATAATTTAGATAAAAAATAGATAAAGATGATTACAAATATATCACATATATGAGAAATAAACGAGAAACCAACCAAACCAAACCAAAGTCGAAAATTATCGTTTGACTTTTCAAAAACTAATTAACTACTCTGAAATCGGTCATATTGAATGTTGTATAATACACAGGGTGTCCCATTCGAATCGATCCATGCTACAGAAAAATACACATCAAACTTATATATCAAAGAATACGTGACTTCGGTTCAGAAAAATTAAGTCGACCTTCATCTGTCCTTCATGCTTCCACCTAGGAAAAATTTACCTACATCGAATCATGTGCTTCCTCAAACCATTATCATCACCATCATTACCATATCTTCCGTATCATCAATAGCTTCAGAGATATTCGACTAGATCGATTGAAATGGAACACCCTGTAGATCTGATAGAACAGATTAACAAGATTAACATTTTCAATAACAATCGTTCTCTGTTACTCCTAGGCAAGGGTGCAGGAAGCTTGATTGGTGGATACCTGATGAAAGCCTTTGGCACACGACCAACCTACCGAATCTTCGCTGTGATAACTCTGATCACCGGCGTGATGTACTACATCTTCAATGTAGCCTATTTGAAGAAACAGCCGCAAGTAGAAGGCAACGACATCGTGAAAAAGAAGCCCAAAAAAGTCGAGAACCAAAACGGTCTAGAGAGTGGGATCATAGAGATTGGGTTGGAAGAGAAGAAGCAATCGCAGAACGAGGAGAAAAAGAACGAGCCTAACAATTTAGCAGGGATCGACAATCAGGCCTTCATCAAGGAGCAGGAGACGGGGAATGAACGGACGAAAGACATCGAGGCTATCAACAACGCGAAGAATCTCGATAAGATAGAGAAAGTTCCGTTCGAGGACAGTGGCAAGAAGAAGTTCGGAGCGAAGAGGCTGAAGAAGATACAAACCGATGAGCGTGACAGGGCGAAAGAGTGCTCGAAACAGAACGGCACGACGAACCCAGGCTTCGAGAGCGACCGGTTCAGGTGTAACGTCACTGTTGAGAGGCAGCCCGAAGACAAGAAGTGACGAAGTTCCTCCCAGAGATCTCGATACTCTTTCCTTTCTTCGTTATTTGCCACGAAACCACTTTTATACTGTTGAAGAGGTACTGTGCAAAACTCACGAGCTGGTACACGGAATGGAGCAAGGATGAGAAGGTCCTAGCATCGTCCTAGGTCCCCATCTTTGGGTACCTGGTATGCTGGCGTAGTAGTGGGCTAGGTTATGTTGTCATGATTTTTATCTTATTACTCGTTGACAGTCTGATTACGCCTACTATCATAGAGCTCAGAAGTTGACATTATGGAAGAGGCCTACTCTGTTTCAAGCTCCTATTCCTGAGTGCTAGCTAACATTGTCATGGTGTTTGTATTGCATCGCTGGTTTACAGTCTCATTGCGTAGGAGTTGCTCAGGAGTTGGCATTTGAGATGACACAGATGCAAGAGATGCCTAGTTTTGGGTTGTTGGTGTCACGTGCTAATATAAGAGTAGGCTAAACTACATGAAATGATTGTATGACTGCTATGCAGAGTTCAGAAGTTGATATTTGAGATGACACAGAGGCAGAAAGTCTCTAGTTTTGGGTTGTTGGTGTCATATGCTGATATAATAGTAGGCATGGCAGTCTGATCATATGGCTGCTATACAGAGTTCAGAAGTTGATATTTGAGATAACACAGGTCTGTTCTGTTCTTGAACCCTAGATTTAGGTTCTTAGTAACATATTCTATTATAGTAGAAAGCTATATGGTACTATGTAGATCACTGCGATTGGTATTTGGGATGATACAGTAGCAATAGAACCAAACTTGAGTATTCTGTTTTTAGCACCTATTGTTATGTCCTTGGTAGTATGTACTGATGTAATGGCAAGCTAGTAAGCTTATGTCTAATGATTAATATTCTAATTGTACACCAACATTATGTACAGTACTGTATATCTATTCTAATCGCTCTGTCATTTCATTTTGTTATATTCTATTTATCTTCTCTGTCATATGACTTCATATAGTCCATTTCCAACTAGTCTATCTTAATGACTAAGAAACATAGTCTTACATGATATGATGAGGTCCAAATTTTTTAGTATGTGACTTGCTTTTCCTAACCTAATCTCAACTCTGATGCTACCCAAATCTAGGTCTACTGTTGAGTCCCTTGGTGACACATATTGGCACAGTAGTAGGAGAACTTGCATAGCTTATTTTACACTAAACAGCTCATATTGATCCTATGTACACACTAATCAGTTTATTTTATTTGATTTTTATGTATCCTAACCTAACCTCAACTCTGATGCTACCCAAATCTAGGTCTACTGTTGAATCCCTTGGTGGCATGTGTTGGCACAGTAGTAGAAGAACTTGCATAGTTTATTTTACATTAAACAGATCATATCAATTACATGCACACACCGGTAATTCATCAGTCTAACTCATCTGATCTTGATGTACCTCTTTTGTTTTCTTCATCATGAGATGCTACATGATCCAAGCTGCAGATGTGATACTTCCAATTGACAAAGGAAATTCGTGTAGTCTGTCTTTATGATGGTGTTCATGCAAAATGGAGTTACTCTGTGACTGATCAGACCCATATTCCCATTGCCAACTTCTGAGCTCTGCACAGTATGTAGACGAGGCTGTAAAAGAGATGCTCGAGATATAGAGAAGTCTTGTGTGCATAAAAATTCCACAATGTAAAGTTTGTACACGTTGTGTGTAAGTATTGCTTTGTTGAATAGTGCACGTGTAGTGCTGTTACACAATTATTCGAATATGGAGGCATTATAATAACAGAATTATCAAGAAGAAGCATAGTTAAAGAACTATAATTGAAATATTCTTAAAAATATGGAATATACATTCAAGATGTTATAATTTCCATTTTTGATCGAATTTTTTTATATTTTTTTATATTTGCATAATTAAAAATGTTACAAATATCGAACTGATTTTGATATAAATTTTTCTACGATGTAGTATTAAAAATTAATAAATAATTAATTAAGTTTATTATTATGAGAATAATTACGAGCAGCACTACATTAGGAACTTGTTCTAAAAATTTGTTTATCCATAGTTTCACTTTGCCCGGAACATTGTTCGGGTTCATTTCACAATAAATAGCATCGTGCATATACTTCACACAGTGTTAAATATCGGATTAATTTTATTATACGTTTTTAAGTATTCGACATAACTATATGAAATGTAACATTCTACTCGTATTAAGTTTAGGGTAAAGTCTCTATTTTATATACGCCCTTTTCGTGGGATAACACGAGAGTAATACCGATATTGCGTTTAAAGATCATCTGTGGATAAAGTTAATAACATTTTTATAGATGCAATAATTAGCATAAATTCGTTAAATTATGCAGAACGCGTATGTTTGTTGTTACTATGAAATTCATGATTAATATTGTTAGAGTTTTATGAAAACAAATTATATATATATTTCCACGAATTTTTAAAATCAATTTTTAAAAAAATTTTTGGAAATAACTTACACATCTCGTGGAATTTCTAAAATAAATTTTATAAAGATTTTTAAAAACAGGTCACATACTTTTAAGAAGTATTTTTTGACTTTTTAACTTAAAAATATTGTTTAAAATCAGATTTTCTTTTTGGTCGCCTTATGCATGTCTTTTCTACATTTTGAAAATAATCACTGAAAATTGATCTGTTATCACTTTAAAAGTAGAAAAATATTCACCCTTCTTTGAAGACAAAACTTTGCAAATAATTGTATTATATTACTGTTATTATCATCGTTATTATTATTAATATTATTAATATTATCATTATTATTATTATTAATGAAAATAATAATCTTTGTAAAGTTACTAACGAGTTATTATAAACCGACTGATTCTTTCAGTATTAAAGTATTTCCCACTCATTAGTACTGAAAAATGTGAGATTTAGTATTGATTGCAAATTAATGGACTGTAAGAAGTACCCACAATATTTCAAGAAGAGTATGAAAAGCAATATCAATATTGATTATCTCATTAAAGAACATTGGCAACCATGATATTGCAAAATGTGAATAGAGGAAATGTATAATTATACTTAGACAATAAATATCATCATAGAAAGTGCTCTGTGTAAAATAAATGCTAATGACAAAATACTCGTACTGACAGTACAGCAGGAAAAGTACAAAGGAATATTTATAGTATTAGAGAACAACACTGTTTTGACAGCCAAATTATTGTACAAGGATAATAAAATTTATGACATTAATTTAAAACAACAATCAGGTGAAGCGCTAATGCAATATTGCAGTTACCTTCTAAACAGATCTTGACATGTACTCAAATACCTCTAACAATATTAATTATATTGTCTTTCATATAATGATATCAAGAATTTTAATATCTGCTAAAATTTGGCAGATTGACTACGCATACACTGACAAGTACTGTCAAATAAGAAATCCAAAATGGTGAACAACAGAGAATTTATATTTGCATGAAGGTAAACAAAAAGCACATGCTATGAGAACGCAAGTGTATTACAAAGAATCATCAAATAATAAGAAGGTAATGACAGCTCTACAACGGAGCCATGTGATATAATTATGCAGGAAATAGCGCGTAATCATGAGTCCCCATAGTGTACAATAGCCAAGTTACGTCGTTCGCGAGCAGGATAATTGCAAAATATCCTCGTCTCCCGTAGTTTGAATAGAAAAATAAACGAAAATACAGTAACTTAGGCTATTTCCTTATTATACCCGTTAACTCTTTCATAATACTGCTCTGGGTATTAGGTAACCAGGCTGGATACCCTAAGAAGACAATAGACACACTGCTGAGTCTAGGTGACAACAGTTCCTCATCCTGTATTAAACTTAATTGTTCAGATTACCTGTGTACTGCCAAGTTTCTAGGATTAGACCAATCTAAAAATTAGCACTGTGCCTGGATTTTGATTTATATAATAGATGCACAGTGTGCCATTATGCAGAGTCATGAAATATTTCTCAGAGAACATTCCTATTCTGATCAGTAAATAACTGCTACTGAAAACTGTAGAGAGACACATTATTAGGTTGACACTGCTAAGTCTAGGTAAGAATAGTTCCTCAGTTTTTATCTTTCCTCATTAAATGAAATAAATCTCTACTGAATTGACTATCCAGTTTGCCAATATGCTACCCAGTTACCATAATCATGAAAAGAACGACAATTAGGAGTGTCAATCAATAGTGTGTCTATGAAGTTCAACTGAAATAGCCAAACTAGCTACACTAAGAAGACTATAGACATACAATTGAGACTAGACAAGAATAGTTCCTCAGTTTGTATTCTTCCTCATTAAATGAGTCAAGTCTCTATTGAATTGACTATTCAGTCTGTCAAAATGCTGTCAAGTTACCATAATCACGAAAAGGAGGACAATTAGTATTATCCTTGGGTTCTGATTTAAAGATACACTCTGTATCTATGAAGTTCTACAACAGAAATAGCCAAACCAGCTATTCTGCTACTCTAGGAAGACCTTAGACACACTGCTAGGTTTAGGTGAGAATAGTTCCTCATCTCGAGACAAGTTTCAACTAGATTGATTGTTCAGTTTGTCAATGTGCTACCAAATTATCAGACTCATGCCAAGCGTGATCATGCCAATTAATACCGTGTTTGGATTCTGGTTCGTAGACACACTGTCTGTCTAGAAGGGCGATAAGACATGTCTGGCCTTTGGAGTATTGCTATTGTAACACATTATTGTACCAGTTAGGTTACTTAACAGCCAGAATGTAAGAGGTCCTCTCTACGATTGCTGTAGTCGTCTTGTCGCAGGTATCCTCAATGTGGCAGGGGTGCTAGAAGGGACGTAAGGAAAAGGAAAGGATGCGTTCCGACCTGGGCCTGCAGTGGACTTATCAGTAAGGCTACCTAGCAGGCCCTGCTTAGACAGTTACTATTGGAAAGTTTGGAAGTTTTATATATAGGAAACGAAGGGTTTTTACTAAAGGCTTGCGAGAAAGCCTTTAAACCTCCTTCAAGTAGGAATACATCTATTGGCAAAGGTGAGAATGCCGCCAAAAGAGTATACACGAATCAGAAGACACTGTCATTATGAAATAATCTTCATTATCCTTAGCTATCGTTTTCCTGCCAAGGACAGATCAACAATCCTCCCTTCCCTTCCTAACTACTCCATGGACTTGGCTCACCTCGTAACGGTGTGTTACAATTTGCCAAACGGATTAGGAGGACTTTGCCAGGTCTCATTCCGCCTAGTTAACACCTTCAGCAACATGGGAAATGTTTTGTCTCTGGACAGGCATTCCAACGAATTCCGAAATCCAAGATGAATCGTCTAGAAAAAGGTAGCGAAAGAAATTCGTGGTAATATGCAGGTGGGTTCTCGTTCTCGAATTAGCATGAAAGATTTTTGTCTAGGTGAGCGAGGAGTAAATTGTGTGCGACGTTAAGTAGTCGGGCCAGGTGAAAATGGAGTTGGACAATAAATTAGCAACACGTTTGCCGGACAGGTACAGTTACGAGTCTATATAGCACTCAAGACAGGGGTCCTCGATCATTCATCTTTGAAGATGATGATACGCGCGTTGCTATCGTTGCTTTTGGCGAGTCTGTCGATAGTCTCGGTCCTGTCCCAAGTGATGTCTTACGCGAAAGTGTCGAGGAACGGGCAGGAAGAGGTGGAGACCAGGAATGATCCTGTGACGTGGATCGTCAGGTTAGATCGTTTGAGAGATTCTCAGGACTGTGAGATGTTTAATGTAAAGACGTAAGGCCAGATTGCTGAAATGTTTTCTGTTATTCTCTTCCTTTTTTCTTTCTTTTCTTTTTTGGTCCCTTTCCTCGAAGTAATGGAACGCAGAGTGAGTCCAGGAGCATCAAGAACATCGCGATCACTATGTCACCCGTGTACGTCACGCCGAAAATTTCGGGGCTGAAGAACGGAGAGGCGATTAATTATTCGCCTGGTGGAAGGTAGGAACAGATTTTTCATTTGAGTTTTACATATGGACTAGAATTTGGGATAAATTCGAAAATTTGGATTTTCATGGTATTTTAGAATTTTTTTAAGTGGAATTTTAAATTTGGAATTGGAAAAGAATTTAAGAAAACTTCAAAAATTTGGGAATTATTTCAAAGTTATTGAAATAAATAGAGTTAAATAAATAAGTTATTCAAATAAATAAAGAATTTGAAAAGGAATTTGGAAATTTGAATTTACATGAATTCATGTAGCAAAGAAATTGAAAAATTTCTGTTCAAACTGAAAAAATTGAAGGAAATTTGAATATTAACTTTTTATAATTAGAATTCTTTTTGGAAAAAAGTTGAAATTTATTTTAAATTCAAATCTAGTTGACAACAATTTTCAATTTAAAAATCATTAATGATTGTGAAAAAGGAATATTTAATTAATATACCAGTATAATGGCATGGTATTAAAATTAAATTATATAATAATGAAAAAATAAAATAGAATTAAAGAAATATAATCTTGAAATCTCAAATATAATTTGAAAAATAGCCAAATATGCAAAATCAAATCCGCAACACGATATATTTCAAATATCTTCATTAAAAAAGTCCAAATATAAATTAAATTTAATTATCAATTTAAAAACAAATGCAAATTAAGAAAAATTCAAAAATTTGCTCATTATTCCAAAATTGTCGAATTTGAAAAAGAGTTTAGAAATTTGAATTTATATGAATTTATGTAGAAAGGAAGTTAAAAAATTTCAGTTCAAATTGGAAAAAATTGAAGAAGATTGGAATATTAATTTTTCATAATTACAATTTTTTTTTTTTTAAGGACAGGAAGTTGAAATTTATTACAGATTTCATTTCGTTCTCAAATTTAAGAAGCCAAAATTTTCAATTTAAAAAGCATTAATGATTCTAAAAAAAACATATATCAATATAATAATAATGAAAAAGTAAAGTAGAATTAAAGAAATTTAAGTTATCACATAATTCGAAGAAATTTAATATTGGAATCTCAAAAATAATTTAAAAAATAACCAAACACCCAAATTCGAGTTCGCAACAAGATATATTTCAATCTTCCTTAAAAAAGTCCAATTATAAATTTAATTTAATTATCAATTTAAAAACAAATGCAAATTACTCCTCGAGTACGAAATCTCAAAATTTACAGATACTCGACGTTGGATCACGAACTGATAGCACAATTGAACGCGAAGAAGCAGATTCAGGACAGGTATCACCCAGCTCCTCTTAATACCTTCAAAAGCAAGGAACCCATGAGCGACACGAAGGAAAGCCCGAAACCTGCCAGTCGCCCTAGCAGTCCACCTACTGGTCCATCGTCCTCTGATATATTCGACTTTTCTAAGCCACCGTTTTCGGAGACCTACGACTACAAACCACCTGATTACCTGAGCAGTAAGCCGATTTCCAAACCGCCGGATTACCTCAGTGACAAACCGATTTCGAAGCCCCTGTCGATGGACGATTACGCAGATTCCGAGATGAGTGACAAGGTAGATTATCCAAATGTCGAAATAACCTAGTTTATTTTTGCAATTCGACCTATTCTGGTTTACTATTAACACTAGACTATCACGCCCTAAACTATATTTTCCTACGCTTTTGGTTAAAAATTCAGTGATTTTTCTCATGATATACAGGGTGTCCTTTAAAAATTCTTCATTCAACATTATTGCTTTGAACATTTAATTTTGCAACTTTAACTCGTAATATATAGGGTGTCCTCTAAAAATTCGGTACTCAATATTAATACTTTCGTTAACTGGTTTATTTCTCTCATAATATATAGAGTGTCCTCTAAAAGTTCTGCACTCGATATTACAACTTTCGTTACCTGACTTACGATTTGTTTCACAATATACAGGGTGTCGTTTAACAATTTTGCATTCAGTGCTATTGGTTTGGTCGCTTGACTTCACGACTTAGACTCGTAACACATAGGGTGTCCTAAGAATTCTACACATAATATTTCGACTTTCGTTACCTGCCTTACAATTTGTTTCATAATATACAGGGTGTCGTTTAAAATTTTAGTATTCAATGCTATTGGTTTGGTCGCTTGACTTCATTTGTAACACACAGGGTGTCCTAAGAATTCTACACATAATATTACCGCTTTCGTTACCTAACTTACAACTTTTTCCATAATGTACAGGGTGTCGTTCAAAATTTTAGTATTCGATGCTATTGGTTTGGTCGCTTGACTTCATTCGCAACACACAGGGTGTCCTAAGAATTCTATACATAATATTACCGCTTTCGTTACCTAACTTACAACTTTTTCCATAATATACAGGGTGTCCTGTAAAAATTCCGCACAGAGAAAAAACTAAATCCGAAAATCCCAAAACTTCAATGCAACTATCTCCTCCCCGAATACCATCAAGCAATCTCGGTTCAACCATACTCACGTAAATCATCGTTTTCAGCCACCAGATTCCTACAAACCGGATTCCTACTACGCGTCCCACGATCACGACTCCGAGTACTCCGACTATTCGCCAGACACGTCTTACAACAATGACGCGGCACCCAAACCGATGCAGTATTCCACTCATCTGGATCATCCTCCATACGAGGACGACGACCATTCTTCTTACGGTCACCATCACGACTTCCATCACGAGGTGATCTACGACCACATACCCGACTACCACGACCACACCGAGCAGCCAGAAATGAACGACCAGAGACTGGACAAGAGGCCTTACTCCTATTACTACATAGGCAAGAAGCTCTGGTACGTTCCCCTATACTTCAGCATCTATTTCATCATCTACATCGCGGCGCTAGTGTTGAAGAGCATCGCCAGGCACAAGATCACCTTCCCAGCGCACTTGGCTGACGCTGTGGCACATTCTAGGTCCCACAGCGACTTCAGCTGGTGGGATTTCACCGGGGAGATATTGAGAGGTATAGAGAGCTTCGCTGAGAAGTATGGAAAAATTTCCTAGAGTACTCGGACGTTTAATTTCTTGGAGGATGAAGTGGATCAGGGGTTGGACTTGGCTGGTGAGACTTTTGGGGTGTTCCTTATGTTGTTATGAATGTTAGAGTGCTCGTGAATTTTCTAATGACGTGTCCATTCTCACAAACACACTTCGGGTCATTTTTATGATAATCATAGTAACAGTATGCAATATATATATAATTTTTACTGAGATTGGTATTAAAGATTGGGGACTGGAGATTTTAGGTGTTTGGTATCTGATGGATGCTGAATATTTAGGGCCATTGAGTAGTATGAATGTCGAACACTTGGTGTTTGGTAACTTAAGTAGTGCTAAGAGTTTGGTAACTGGAGAATATAGAACAAACTTCTGAGATTGGAAATAGACTCGATGTGTTTGATATTCGTTGAATGTTGAATATATGACGTATATAAAATTTAATTGAGATTAAATGTCTAGTAGTTAGAAACTATTATTATTTAGTGCATTCGCACCTGGCACTTGATGGATATAGAACACACTATACCTAATTAATATCGAGAAGGTTATATTAATATCTGGAAAATATCGAAGACCTGGCAATCGATAAATACCGAATTAATCAAGAAATTGATATAAAGCTTCGTCTTTTAATCAATATCGAATATACCCCTATATTACTAGGTATCCCTACATTACTAGGTGTCCCTATATTACTAGGTATCCCTACATTACTAGGTGTCCCTATATTACTAGGTGTACCTATATTACTAGGTGTCCCTATATTACTAGGTGTCCTTATATTACTAGATGTATCTACATTACTAGGGGTCCCTATATTACTAGGTGTCCCTACATTACTAGATGTCCTTATATTACTAGGTGTCCCTATATTACTAGGTGTCCCCATATTACTAGGTTTTCCTATATTATTACAATAGGTGTCCCTGTATTACTAGGTGTCCCTATATTACTAGGTGTCCCCATATTACTAGGTGTCCCCATATTACTAGGTGTTCCTATATTATTACAATAGGTGTCCCTGTATTACTAGGTATCCCTATATTCCTAGGTATTCCTATATTACTACAATAGGTGTCCCTGTATTACTAGGTGTCACCATATTACTACGTGCCTCTATATTACTAGGAAAATATTGAACATTTATCTATTTATCTATTTATCTTATTGATTAGCTAGTATATCTTGTAACTATCCTTGCTGCCTGAATTGCGGAATACATTTGATATACCTATTGAATTAAAAGGGAGAAATTAATTCTGCGTATCATCCATTCATAATTGAAAATTAAGAAGTGATATAGTGATTCAGAAAAATTTGGAAACTGAAGAAGGCTTCGATTCAAGTGCCAGTTAAATTCTATCAGCTCAAATAAAAATTTATTTTATCAATGGACATATGCTGTTTTATTTGATTTCAATCACTAAATATTTTTAAAATATTCTATAATTCCATAATTTTATAATTTTCTATTTACAGAATTACATTTCACAATTCTATAATTTCATTTTTATAACATGGACTTATAAAATATGAATGAGATTTAACATTGTATGTATATTTATTTGACAAACGATGTTAGATTCACGTGTACTCAGACAATGAATCATCAAAAATGCAATAAATTTAAAGTAAATAATAACGAATATTCGAGATTAATTCGACAAAGAATTAAAAAATGATGTAAAATGATAATAATAATTATTTTTTGACATGAATCTCCCAAAACTTGAGTCCTGCATGCAACACTGTTCTACTTTGTCGAAGTTAGGGATACTTTACAGTACAAGAAGCGATTTTGTACATGTAAATATTACAATTAAGCGTTTTGTAAATATTTAGGGCTCCAAATATACTATTTATTTGTACAAACATTGAAAAGTTTAAGAATAATTATCGAGTATTCGGTACCAAATATTTCTCTGCTGTCAATTACAGTATTGTATTTCTAATTACTCCTAATTCCACTAATTGTAAGTTTGCACATTGTTTGTAAATGTAATAGAATGTAATAATATAATGATAATTTCATTCATTTCTTACCTGCGAATGATGAATGAAATTAAAATTGTTTTGAATTACTAAAATGACCTAACGAATAAAAATATTTTCTAAAATAATGATGTAATTTATTACTTTCAATTTTTCTTACTATTAATAGCTACTATTAATCATATAAGTTGCATTAAAATATAAAAATATTCCTATTTATAGAGAAAAATACCCACGTGTAAAGAGAAATTATTTATTTGAATTAATCTGTAAATTAATCTGCATGCAAGACATTTTCTATTATTAAGATAGTAAAATACTTTCAAATACTAGTCGAAATGAAAAGCAAATTTTCATTGGTCATTCATTATTTAAATAAATCATTATTTATATATCTAGAAAAGAATTTTCATCAAATAATTACTAAATTTTAATTAATTATAACCAGTTTCTAATAAATTTCAATATACCCAATATATTTATATCTTCAAAGAAAATATCATTTATACAACAAAATATAACCTCAAATTAAATGGGAGTCCCAATTAAACAATTTCTAAATTTTCAATATCCATTGCTAATTAAAGTTTCCATACAAACAGAAATTTCATTCCCATAATAAAAAATACTAATCAAATAATAAACAACATGAGGAATTTCTATTATACCATTCACATAATCGTATATCGAGAAAGTTTCATTTCCACATATGACGAAACCTAACCTCCAAACTAAAACCTAACCTCCGGACTAAACTAAACTAAATAACCCTTAAATATTCATTAAAAAAATTCTTAATTTCTACAGTTATATTCCAAACGAAACAAAAAATGTCATTCTTATAGCAGAAACTATAGTGAAGTTATAAAATCGGTCAGCCATTAAACTAACCATATTCAGTTTTCGAGACAAACGATATAATTAGGCTCTCGATCATTTTTCGGGTGCTAAATTTAAAAATATAATTCTAAATACCAATCTTTGGAGATTTTATCTACAATCTCGTTATCTCTTAACAATTTAAGAGGGTACTGTTGTAATCAGACTCAGAAAAATCGATTTCTTTTTTTTTACATTTTCTCAAAGTGTACGTCTTCAAAAATGTCTGTGTAAAAGGATTTGTTCGAATTCGTAAAATTAGCGAATTTATAGGGGTTCAAAGTGTGACGTACATGCATTGTACAATGGGTAACGAAAACTTCAAACGCGTTTTTCTCGAAACTATATTTTCGAAACTGGCTGACGGAATATCTCGCGTTTGAGTTGTCCGATTGACTCGAAATTTAGAGAAAATCTTTACAGGGTGTACCTTTATCCCGTGCACAACGGATTTCAAAATCTGATGTTTTTTTTTATTTTTAATTACTACACAAAGGACGAAAGCATGAAGGAAATCGATATTTAAACTTCAAAATGCCGCCATTTTTTTAATTTTTCGAAATTTTGCTGTTTTAATGGATCGTGCTATAGCCATACTTATATTAATTAAGATGCTTTTTGGTTATTTCGTTTCGGATAACCAGATGGTCCGAAATCACGTCAGCCATTCGAACTCGTTCTTAAAAACATAGCCTACCTAAAGCTATATAATCTCCACAATTTTCATCAATTTCGTTAAAAAGGGATTGTAAATATTCTCCAAGTATAAATAAATGTGAGTGCGAAAGCTGCGTGTCAATGTGTATCATGGTTTCCTTAGGAAAAATTCCCGAAAGTCGATTTTTATACGCAGAATGCGTACCTATAACGATACCCAACGCCGGACGATGGCGGATGAGCGATTGCAGCGCGCTCTGTACTTAAATTCCCAAGAAACAGGCGTATTCGGTTATGACTGCTTCTTACGCTCGCGCCACGAGCGGTGGCGCAAGTTTTTGGCGGGATAACGAGCCGGAATTTGTCAGTATCGGCGGAATCGAAAGAATTACTGGAAACGACGCAAGAATTCTGATGGTCTCGCATTCCGATTGACCAATTACGCCCTTTCGATCAAGTCTCATCCCTGTCTTCTTCCCATGTATGATCCCATGATTTCGTCGCGTACACAGAATACGAAGAGTCCTCTCGTCTCCACAGTTTTGAAATCTCGTGTGCGTATGTGGTGCGTCGAATTTTATATGCGAATTCTCTTTTCCGAAGGAGAAAAATAATGGTAAAAACGGTCCTCCAGTTTGGGAGAAGTCAGTGGCTTTTAAAATTGGTTTGAAATCAGTTTATGTAAATAAAAAAAGAATGGAACTGGATTTTTGTTGATCCTGTTTTGAGTTTGGGTTTTTTATACATATTTGAAGGTTATTGGGATCATGGGTAAATAATTAAGCAGGGGTTGGAAGGGGAGAATTGATTTTTTAATTGGAGGAGTTTGGATGTGGAAGTTTCTGTCTGGTTTCTATAAATATGAGGATTATAATAGGATGTAATTGCAATTTACAGATGGATAATTATTAACATTTATTAATAATTATTATTAATGTTAGGAAATAAATAATTATCAACATCTATTTTATTAATATTATTATCGAAAGCCACGAATAAATTTGATTTGTTCTTAAATTTAACCACAGCATTGTTTAAATTAAAATTCACAGAAATCTGTAATACAAATCAAAGAATATAATATTACAAATCTTATGTTTACTATAAAAAAATTTTTAGAAAAATATTTTTCATAAAAACCTTTTCTATAAAAATATCTATTGACAAATAAGATGAGAAACGATACAAAATTCCATCGATATGTTAATTGATTAATTAAAAAGGAAATAATTGTTCAAGAAATCAGTTCATGTCATTCATTAGCACTCACCCTTTTCCCTCTACCTCTGTTTAACTTTTATTTATTTATAATTATATCTTCCATAATTGGGTACACACTGTACTCCATTTTACATCTATCTGTAAATTTATCGGGATCAGAATTCCGTTAAATTAATATTTTCGTACATTCGAGACACTAATTAGTTTACATGTGCGTATATTAAACTACTAATTCATCTACAAATAATATTTACAAACTGGACTCTTCGTTCGAAAATTTATTTAATTCAAAAATAAGATGAAACATTCATTCATAAGAATATTCACTGATTCATTGAAGAATTCCAAATTGTATCGAATATATGTAAATGAAATTTACACATACAGTTACTCACATAAAGCCGATGAATATGCGTGAATAGAATACTTTTACTTATTACACCGAATTTTCTCTATATTACAATAAAAAGTAATCTCATTATTTTTATCATTGTTTTCGATTTCTTTTTTTTTGTATTATTGAATTATTATCTTTACAGAATTATTTTCAATTTTATCTTTTTATTAATTCATTTTTTTTATTACTGAATTATTATTGTTCTTTATTTTCATATATTGTATATTATAATTAAAGAATTATATAATTATTATGTGTAAATAAATTTAAAGAATTTATATAGTATATATATACAAAGAATCTATTATAATTTTTTTTATTTATTAACTTATCGTCCATGTATAGTTAATATTCAGATATAAAATATTATTCTTCTATTTTTCTATTTTCCTACTTTTGTATTACTTCATATACGAAAAGATGACTTAAAATTTGTTTACTTTATGAAAATACAAATCACTTATTATAACTTGCAAATATATGAACAATTTCTTCCTAGTAACATTTAATTATATATTTACTGGCAAACAATAATTTTATTATTTTCATCATTATCCTTGATATCTTTCAGTTCAATATTTTTTCTGAATATATTATATTATATTTAATCTTCTATTTAATAAATAAGAAAATATTTTCTTCTCAGTGATATGAAAAATGATTATGGCAATTTGAATGATTTTAGAAAAGATAAAACTCTAATTACATTATTAAATACATATGTTATATAATCACATATTTATATGAATATATATATTATAAAATAAAAATTAGTAAATGTATAATAACTTATTATACATTTGTACCTTACTGTACCTTAATGATGTCTCAACTAATTATATTAAATATTTAATTATTCAACTCTATTTTTTCACTACCACATACCTCCCTATCTATTATATAGCAAAAATGTCCTAAGCTCTAAATATGATATAAACATATATAAATATATGTACTCACTAAAAGTACATACAATCTCTATTTTCACATACATACATTACACCTAAATTAATCACATCAAGTTCATAAATATTCCTATTCTCATTTTCTCACTATGAAATTCTATTTTTATCTCAATATCAGTAACAAAAACCCTTCAATTCCAAAATTACTATAACAAACCAAACATATGATCTCTAAAACCTATAAAAGGATAACCTGAAACCTATAACTATAACTTAACCTATAAACCTATATTGTATATATAATACTACTACTATATATACTACTAATATATACTACTATATATACTATATATACTTTACTATACATACTACTAATATGTACTACTATATATAGTATATATATTATACTATACTATATATATGAACAATTACTACGTATACTATATATACTACTAATATGTACCACTATATACAGTATATATATTATACTATACTATATATATGAACAATTACTATGTATACTATATATACTACTAATATGTACTACTATATACAGTATATATATTATACTATACTATATATATGAACAATTACTATGTATACTATATATACTACTAATATATACTACTATATATACTATATATATAAACCTATAACTATAACTTAACCCATAACCTATATAACTACAGATCTATATACTACATACCAACTACTATCAACTCACCTATTTAACCACCTACCTAGCCACCAAACTCATACCCAATTAATCACCTTAAATTTGCACCAAGCAGCCCAAGAGATCCAAGAATTGGAAAGGCAAACACTACAAGAGGCCTTCTCAGTGATGCGATAATGGGATGCGGATAATCGATGATCTATAACCGAATTCCCGGTTTGAAATCTTCCTAGACGACAGCGACGATACGCAAGAGTAACAATTAGGGCTTTTAGCGCTGCAGGCTGGATTTGCTTAACGTTTCTGGTGATACAGTTACCGGTAACCGAGCAGTATGTTTGAACTGGGCCCACGAATCGTTCAGTCGCTCCTTGGAGTTTATCACCGACGGTTCCACGGCCTATGGCCCACGTCGTTGACAACCTCGAGACGGGAAGGAAGCATCGAAGACGCTGGGTCCCGATGAACCCGCGATCGTCGGGTACGAGGAATGAACGTTCGTATAGTGGCATCGGCAGGTGGTGAATCGTTGTTTCCATGAAGAGGTGAGAGAGGATCGAAGGGAAGTGTAGAGGGACACGTGTTCGCGGATGCGAGGATCGAGACGTGGAAACTTTTGAGGAACGAAGAGGCTGGTACGGGTGAAGATTATTGGGAATTATGGGTAGGTATGGAGTTATGGAGGTTTTGTTATGGGTTGATGTACGTTTGATGAAGACTATAAAGTTGAAGATTCGGTTTTTGGGTCTGTTTGAGAAGGATGAATGGTTTGAGGTTTGGATAGGTGTCTGGGATCACTGGTGATCACTGTTTGTTTCATTAGCTTGGCTAATAGTTTCGAATTTTAACGACAGATGGCGCTGCTTAGTTTTCTGCGACAAAATGACGTCACTGAGCTGTTAAGTATGTTATTATATAATTGTACTCTGTAATTTATTATGTAAATTATGCAGTTGTCAGAAGATGATCGAGTTTCCTTTGTTTTGAAGAAAATGACTAGCTTTTTATAGTAAAAATATTGGTAGCACTTTTTAGTAAACAGTATAGTTTGGGTAGATGAATATTTTCATTTGGAATTAGTTTGATGATGATTTGGGCAAAGTTAATAGGAATTTGAGATGAGTATAATATATATTTTAATTTATCACACTTTGAAATTTAATTCAAGTGTATTTCCATCCAAAGCCCAACCTAAATTTAGTTTACAAAACACTGAGCAAAAAGTCTCAAGTTTGAGCAAAACCCAAATCTAATTAAAATTCAATTCAAACTTAAATCAGGTATAAAACTAGTTGGACCTAGTATCTAACCTAAAATTAATTATAACTTAACTCACCCCAATACCTAACCTATAATTTATTTAAATTTAGCTCGGACCAAAACTTAATTTAAACTTAACGATAAATTCAAACCTAACCTAATCAATCTAGAAGACTGAACACCTAACTTTAATATTAACCTAACCAAAATCTAATATAAAAATACAAATTTTTTCATATTTAATATTGTACATATGTAAGTACATGATACTGTACATTAATTCAGAAGATGTCCTAATTAATGATGTTCAAAAAATTAAAGACTAATAATTAATACGAACAATATAGACTAATAATTTTTATAAAAATTTATAAAATTTATGAATATAATGGTACAGTATAATTTATGGTATAACATAATGCTATAGTATAATTTTTCAATATCTGAAATTGAAGCATCAATTATAAAAATATATAAAAAAGGAAAAGTATCAAAGTATCTTTTATAATTATTATTATTATGGACAGAAATCTTTTTTAAAATTAATGCTACATGTACTCATGTCGTTTCAAGATAATAGATATTTTTGAAGAACAAATTTGCTAATTGTATTCCTACCCACATGTGTGTTATGTAGTCGAAGTATGGAGGTGTTTACTTCACAAATGTACTAATGGATCTCTTCAAAATGAACGATCGCAGTGAAAAGTATAATAGTAAACATATTTCATTTAGATACTAAGATCTTACTATTATAAACATGATTTTTATATCGAAAATAGTACTTGACATACATCATAAGCTAAACTTATATTTCTACTTTAATTTCAACTTTCAATAGAACAGTATAATTATTTTATGACTTTGTAATTATATTTTCTATTTAAATTTTCTCTGAAATTACTATTACAATTATTTTAAGATCCAACAATTTCCTGTCGTATATTTAAAATTTCTGTGGATCTAATTACCTTAATTGCTAAGTGAAAACATGTCCTAGTTACTGATATTTTTACTAAATTAAATTAACGTCAATTTTCATAAAATTAAATTTCTTCATAATTTCTGTAAAATTGAATTTCCAGCGAATTCCTGAAAAATTAAAATTTCATTCATAAGAAAATCATTCTATTACGAATACATATAGATACACTAATATACTTATGAATATCTCAAATCCATCAAAGAAAAAATATAAAAATATAAAATATTAATCTAACTTTTTCCCTAATCAAAGACAACCATAATATTAGTAATTTAATTCATCACGTCCCTTTCCTACCTATTTTAAAAATAAAATAGTAATAAAACTATTTAAATATTTAAAAATATTTTATATTATAAAATTTAAATTAATAATTTAATTTAATAATATTTAAAACTATTTTAAAATATTAAAAAATAATTTTAATATTTTAAATGTAGCTTAATATTTAAAACATTTTTTAAATAACTATATTTAATAATAAAACGGAAAATACAGTCCACGAAAGATCCACAAAATTTCTAAAACCATTTTCTACATTTCAGACAGCGTACAAACAAATTTGGTCTGCCATTATCTCCTGCTCCTCGTGTGCGTTTCACACGCAAGTGAATCGACTTTCGAGGAGATCGATGCACTTCCGGAAACCAACGAGTATCAAGAGGCTCCAGCGATCGGCACTGCTGTGCAAACATACAGGTTATTTTATGGAAAAATTTCTTTTCCGAAAGATTCTTTTTTTTCAAATTAATTTTGATTTACATTGCTATCGATTAAATTCGGAATATTTTCAAACGAGATCAATGAATATTCGTTTCTTGGAAATTCAAATAGACATCCAAGAATGTATCGACGAGGTTACCACGAGGACCACGGGTCCATGTATCAGGACGACCACGACAATCATCAGGATGATCATGATCATATGAAAGACGAGGAACAGGGTATGAAAGCCATGGGAACGGGCAAAGTCGATTACTGGGGCGGTTACTACGATTTTTTAATAAACGAGGGAAGTTACAAATTCTGGGCCGTTTTTCAAGTAAGTTCATTATTTTATAATAACGTAGAAATAATTATTATAGTAACGATTATTATTTCATGATTCTTATGGTTATTATTTTTAATAATGATATTAATGATTATTATTTTTTATGAAAATATAATGATAACAATCACTGGTTTGTATGTTTAATAAACCATCCAATAATATAATAATAATATTATATTATATAATATTGTACTACATAGTAATATATCAATACAATACAATGTTA